TTATTTCCTAAACATTTATTTTCTATTGAGCTCTTGGTATCAGCCCCCCCCCCACAACTTTTAATTTTAATACAGAGAGAAAAACAACAGCAATAAAGAAAAGAGCAATAACAAAAACACACTTTTTGAGTACCTAACATGAACTGGGCTATGTATATTGTTTTTCATTTTATTTTATACTACAAATAAGTCTGTTATTCCAATGTTTCAGATGAAAAACCTGAGGGTCAAGACGTTTACAAAGGGACTTGCTCCAGAATGGTAGCATAAAGAGTTTCAGACAAGACTTTCCAACGAATCTAGTGTAACCAGTGAACAACACAACACAAACAAAACAACATATGAAGCCTCTGGAAATTCCTCTGAGGGGAGAGAGCAAGTGTACATAAAGATCTACTTTGTGAATCCCTAGTGACAAGTGGCTATGTGTTGGGCTGCAATCTGCATGGTTGGCAGTTCAAAACCACCAGCAGCTCTGTGGGAGAAAGACTGGGCTTTCTACTCCTGTAAAAGCAGTTACAGTCTTGAAAACCCACAAGGATCACTATGAGTCAGCATTAACTTGATGTAGTGAGTTTTTTGAGTACTTTGTGAATAAGTATCAGCATAAATATGATCCCCCAGAATGTGAGGAATAGTCAAATCCCCACTTTCCCATTTCTCCATCATCTCTGACACCAGCTACCTACAAAACATCTTCTTTTACTCTAACTATCCAGAAATAGGCCGATCTCAAAAGTTAAATGAATGCCATCCTTAAGATTATCAAATAGGCAGACACCAGCTGCAAATTTGAGGAGTCTACACCGTGCCCCAAATTTCTCACCTGCTGGCCACAGAGTCCGGGCTTTCCCACTATCTTCAGCTAGCTCAGGGTCTGCCCTAGACTTTCTCACTTTCACCAACTGGCTCCCTCTGCCCCTTTGACTTTGATAATTCAATGGACTGACTCACAGAATTTACAGAAAGTCTCTACTTGTGATAGATTATAACAAAAGGACACAAATCGGGATCATGATAAGGAAGATGGCTTGGAGGTTCCCTAATGTGGAGCTTCTATGTCCCAGAGAGTTCTTAATCAACCAACAAATTCTTGAATCCTCCATTTTCAGAAACTTTATTGATGTCATTAATAACGCAGGCCTGAGTGAGGCCTGTCTACTTGGGGTTAGTTGCTATCAGCTATAGGGTAATTTCTCTGGTCTGGCAAGTCCCCAGTTGTTAACACAAATCATCAGGTCTGGTTTAGATAACAAAAATATCCTTACCCCAATTACTCAGAAAAGTCCACGGGTTCAGTTACCATTGCAGGAAACAAGAGAAAGATCACATTACATTAGCTAGACATAAATTCTTTACACCACATGTTTTGGGTCAATGAAGCTGGGCTAGGATCCTCAAGAGTTCGTCAGTAAGACCTCCCCCAAAAGGTGCAGTTCTCATCTCAATGAGATATCCTTTGGGGTGTGTCTTTTTCGTACCTATAAATAGACACAGTGGAGAACTTGCTCTTTCTTCTTCCTACAAGCTTGGATCATGTGTCTGGCTTCTGGGATAAAGGCCAGCAGCTTGAGATGTGGCCTGATGACCCTGGGAGCTGTCAGCAGCCTGCCATGTTGGTGGACTATATTGGATCCATTTGACTTAACCTACACCAGCTTGCTTCCTAATTCATTCATTCTCTTGCTTCCTGGCTCATTGGCTGGCAGCTGTGTGAGTTAGGAAGGGTTTCCAGGTTAGCATTTGACCCACTGACTTGAGTCAAATTAGGCTTGCCCACTCTGGCTGTGTGAGCTGCTTTCTTGATATAAATTTCTTTCTTATACATATATGATTGTCACTGGCTTTCTCTCTCTAGAAAACCAGACTGACATACCACACAGATCTACTAAATCTCAGTAAAAACAGTGAGTCTGTGGTACTTCTTTTCCTACATCCCCATTTCAGCGTGGTGGATACTCCACTCTAGAGCAGTGTAGATAAAAACATAACCTTATTCCTACAGTTTCTGTTCTGGGCAAGGGCTACAAGGGCAGGCATGTACTAGTTTTTGTTTGTTTTGTGCTTTTATCCTTCCACCATTTTTGAACCCACCAGCTCTTCTATGGGAGAAAGACATGGTTTTCCACTCCTGTAAAGAGTTACAGTCCTAGAAACCCACAGAGGCAGCTCTCCTCTGTCCTGTAGCACAGCCATGAGTCAGAATTGACGCGATGGCAGTGAGCTTGTTTTCGGTTTGAATTAAGAGGAGGCTGGTAGCTTTATAAGAAACCCTGGCACTGTCGGTTTGGTTGGCAGTTCAAACCCACCAGCAGCTCTGTGGGAGGAAGAGGAGGTAAAGAGGTACAATCTCAGAAAGGATCACTTTCTGATGTAAAAATCATTGGCTTGATGGTAGTAGGTTTCGTTTTTTGGGTTTATCATATGCATCAATAAGGGCTAGAAGGAAGTGGCGAAACAATTTTCAGGCATTTTGAGAAAAACAAAACAAAATAAAAAAGAACACAAAGCTGTCAATGGAAATTCAGTATCCAGTAAAAATATCCTATAAGAATTAGGGGAAATAAAGCAATAACAAAGGAAATGTGTCAGTAGTTAAAGCATCAAAATAAATGATAGTAAAATATTCTCTTTAAATAAAATAAATTACACGGAAATAAATGAACAAATAAATGGAAAGAGAAAGCTATTTCTTAATGCTTAGAGATGTATAAAAATGAAAAAACAAAAACCCCTCTATTTAAGTAGCTATCTAGTGCCACTATAACAAAAATACTGTAATTGGATGGCTTTAAGAAATAAATTTATTCTCTCATAATTGAGCAGGCTAGCATTCCAGATTCAGAGCATCAACTCCAGGGAAGGCTTTCTCTGTGAGCTTTTGGGTCTTGGCATCAATTTTCCCCTGGACCTAGGAGGTTCTCCATGCAGGGAAGCTAGGTGTAAAGGATGCACTCCATTATTCTGTCGCGGTGGTAGTACAGACTCTCTCTCTACTTGCTTCTCTTCTGTTTTCTCTGGTAAGCTAACAGGATACTTCAAGCAAGAGTGTCGGTTGAGAAGGGCATGACTCGGACACCTGAGTAAGAATTAGACTTGAGTCATGCTCTCGTATAAGGCATGATAAGATACACAACCCATGCTAACCCTGCCTCTTTAACATATTGTCATTAGGGCCTATTGACTCAGTTTGGACCCAACAGAATGAAACACTGCCTGGTCCCATGCCATCCTCACAATTGTTCTCATGCTTGAGCCCATTATTTTGAGGGTCTCCTTTTTCACTGCTCCTCCACCCTATAAGCATGACGTCTTTCTCCAAAGACTGACCTCTGCTGACAAGTCCAAAGTATGTGAGCCAATGTCTCACAGTCCTTGCCTCTAAGGTGGATTCTGGCCGTACTTCTTCCAAGACAGATTTGTTTATTCTTCTGGAATTCCAAGGCACTTTCAATATTCTTCACCAGCACCATAACTCAAAGGTATCAATTCTTCTTTGGTCTTCCTTATTCACTGCCAAACTTTGATATTCATATGAGGCAACTGAAAATACCATCGCTTGGGTCAGGCACATCTTAGTCCTCAAAGCAATCTTCTTGCTTTTCAACACTCGAATGAGGTCTTGTGCAGTAGAATTGTCCAATGTACACAGTTTAATTGCTCTCTTGACTGCTGCTTCCAAAAGCATTGATTGTGGATTCAAGCAAGACAACTTCAACCTTTTCTCCACTTATGATGTTGTCACCTACTGGTCCAGCTGTGAGGCTTTGTGAGGGTTTTCTTTACACTGAGTTGTAATCCAGACAGAAGGCTACAAGCCTTGATCTTCATCAGCAAGTGCTTCAAGTCCTCCTCACAGTCAGCATGCAAGTTGTATCATCTGCATATCTCAGGTTGTTAATAAGCCTTCCTCTAATCCTGACGCTGCCCTCTTCTTTATATAATCCAGCTTCGCTTATTATTTGCTCCACCTACAGCTTGAATAAGCATGGTGAGAGGATACAACGATGACGCTCACCTTTCTTGGTTTTAAGCCACACATTTTCCCCATGTTCTGTTAGCACGACTGCCTCTTGATCCATGTACAAGTTTTGCATGAGCACAACAAAGTGTTCTAGATTTCCCATTCTTCTCAGGGCTATCCACAGTTTGTTAAGACATCAGATAGAAGTCTTGACCCCACATGGAGTTGTGTAACTGAACATAGGGCTTACGTAAAAGTTGGCAATATTAAAACGTTTTTGAATATGCAATGACCAAAAATTCATTTAAAATCACCACATAATGAATCCGAGGTGTTTCTAGTAGCACTTCCCCATGTTGCAAATTTCTCAGTCAAAAAGGGGTCAAGAGTGGGAAAAGTTCTGCTGAGGGTCAGGCATAACCAGGTTGAGGATCACTAAGAATTTGGAATTTAGAAAAGGTTAGGAATGGGAAGTATTTCTTTTCTTGATGCAGAAGAGCACCCCCTAGTGGAGTGGTCCAACAAGTGGTCCATTCAATTTTGAATGCCACTGAGTTTTAATAGCACTGAGCTTTAAAACTTTTAAGCCTTACTTTCATACAAACTTATGGGGTAAAATCTTAACAGTGTGGGAAGATGACAGAGGGAAGAAAAATGAGCAGGAATGGGGCTAGTGAGCTCCTGAATGTGCTTAATTGGAGACATTTATAAGTAATGAAAGAACAACGAAATGCAAGGTTGATTCATGTTTGACTATAGGAATAAATACATAATTTTAGTATAAAATAATAATGCAGGAGGCAAACAACAATGCTTACATCATTCCTTCTTAAATTCCAAGGTCACTATTCAGGAATATAAAAAAGAATTCTATCAGGGCCAATGGTAAAACAGAAATATAAAAAGCCATAAATATTATCTGCAACTTAGGATTCCAGTGTGAAGAACTGAGCCCTTCTTTCATGTTTATTCTTCATAGTTACCTCAGTTAAACTCTAGTTTGCACAGAGAACAAAGTACATTAAAGAAATGTTACCTTTCATACTTGCAGAATACCCAATGTTATTCACCAATGATTGTTCATTTTGTGGTAAAACTCCTGCAGCCATTATAGTCTGTTGGGGGAAAAATTATTATTTTACTCACATGACACAAATGGCACGCATGATGCAAATGACACACATGATGAAAAGGGCATGCACAACACAAACAACTTGCATGAAACAAATGTTTGTGTCACATGTGTGGTTAAAGTGTGCCTTTTGAGTTTTCACTATTAGTTATCTGCAATATCCAGTTAGCTAATGCAACAAATGTGTACTTGAAATGTGGTGAATTTAGATTGAAAACTCTTATAAATACAAAATAACAGAAGATATATAAGATGTTTGTAAAAAACAAAGAATATAAAACATTTAATTAATTTTATATTGGTTACATGCTGAAATGATAACATTTAAAATGTACTATTATTTTTGTTAGGTACAGTGTCTAATAACAACAATAATACTGAGTTAGTGAAAATCTGAAATTGAATTTATTCCAACTCATATGAACCAGAAGAAAACACTGCCCAGTTCTGCACTACTCTCACAATTGTTATGCGTGAGGGCACCATACCAAGTTTCTTACTATGTACCAGACACAAATTTTGCCAACCAAGAATTATATAGCCAGCAAAGTTGTCCCTCAAATACCGCAATAAAATTAAGACATATCAAGATAAACAGAAATTAGGAGAATTTGTAAAAACCAGACCAATCTTACGAGAATGCTAAAGGAAGTTAGTTCTCCAGACAGAACCAGCAGTGGCAAATAATGCCTGAGATTAATTCACAGGTCAGCTTCATCCAAAGCCAGCCACGGCATGGAAGTCTCTAAAGTAAAATAAGACTCTAAGAGTCAGTCTTAGACCTCCAAGTAGGGAACCACAATATAAATCTGTAAAGGAAGACAACTCAAAAACAAAAACAAGGAATAAATGCTACAGTCACCGGACTGCTGCAGGGAGAGAAAGGCAAGCTAATCTCAAGGCAGAATACACTCCTTTACACTTGGGACGAGAAGTAAATTACAGGGCAGCTTCAAAGAAAATTAGTCACTTTCATCTAAAATAACTAGTTATTTTTTAAAATGCTGAAACAGTAACATCTCATTACATGGATGGATTTGGAGGATATTATACCGAGTGAGGTGGGAACCGTGACCTAGTGGGTCCACTGAGTTAATTGATTGTGCCAGCCTGGCCGATAAACACAAGTGGGATTAACTGAAGGGAGGAGAGATAAATAGCTCGGTGAGCCTCGCCTTTCTTGTCTCTTGCTCTTTGATCATCGGACCAGTGTGCTTTGCTTGTTCTGTGCCTCAATTTACAGGCTACACTACCTGTGGGACGCCAAGCCTCTGAACTGTGTCGCTGTAAGTTGAGGTCCCTTTAAGACATCTCTGGAGCTGGGGACTGGCGGTTGGTGACCTGGCTGACAGTTAGTGACCTGCCTTGTGATTGGCTGCTGTGCTGAGACAGCCTAGCTCTCTCTCTATACAGAGGAAGACCTGGCAGCAGAGTAGACGTTAAGGACTGCTAGTGTCTCACAACTCTGTCATGGGAGTGAGTTGCACTGAGCCATTTGTACTGCTCTCTATATAACTGCTCATTTCTTGTATTATATATTTATCTGTATATGATTTAACAGTCATTTCTTGTTATATATCTAATTATCTTTATGAATAAATATATTAAATTATCGGCAATTTGGTTTTATCTCTCTAGAGAACCCTGTCTAACACAATATACATTGGGCTGCTAACTGCTAGGTTGGCAGTTTGAAACCACTAGCCGCTCTTAGCGAAAGACTGGACTTTCTACTCCCATGAAGAGTTACAGTATTGGCTTAACCTCGTACATCCTCTCATTCTACTTCTCTCCCTAAGATGATGTTTTGAATAACAGGGCAAGCTGAGGCTTACATGACTTATGGCAGTGAGGGGAGGAGGGGTTTGAAACATACTGACATTCTCTGCCACCTTGGCCCTGTGCTTCAATTTAGGCTGCATGTCCTGGTGGCTCTGATGCTAGAGTTGCTGCTAAAATTTGTAACCTGGCCCCCTTTTACTTGCTTGGACTCAAAAGGCCTCTTTGGCTGAGTTGAATTCATTTAGTTATTGTTGACAATAAAGAAAGACCTCTCTAGAATTTGAAGAATACTGAAAGTACTGTGGCCTGGCCGGAGAACAAACAAACCTGTCTTGTACAGCCAGGATACTTCTTGGATATGAGGATGGCAAAACTTTGTCTGACATACTTTGGATGCTATTAGCAGAGGACAGCCTTGGTAAAGTAGGAAGTCAGATAGAAAGAGGAGATGGACTGACATCTTGGCTGCAACACGGGCTCAAGCACAATAAGGATGGTGAGGGGAGGGCAGAACCTGGCATTGTTTGGTTCCGCTGCCCACTCATGGCACCTAACAACAACAACAACAACAACAACAACAACAGGAATTTGTCTGAGATTAAACTGATTTCAGCTCATCAAAACACAATGCCTTAAAGATGCCTTATTCTCATTCCCATTCGTTTCTTTGGCATGGTTCCTGAAAAGATCCAATTAATTCTGGAAACAAGAGTGCCTAGGGATATGCAAAGTAAAGAGTTACAGTCTTGGAAACTCACTGGGCAGTTCTATTTAGCCCTATCGGGTCTCTCTGTAAGTATCCATGAGTGCATCATCATTACAAGACTCTAGCAAATAGCAATCACTTTACTCAACACGTCAAAACCTCCCAGTGTCTTCCCTGCCTTCAATTTTTATCCCCTTTATTTTCAATCACCTTTTTCACGTTGACAGAAGCAACATAAATCTTCATTATCATATTCCTAAGATCTTTCAGCTTCTTAAATATACTCTCACAATCACACTATATTCTTTTTGTGTGAGTGGCAAAATATACATGTCCAGAACAAAAGTTTGCCACTTTAAGTGTAAAATTCAGTGACATTAATTACATTCACGTTTGCCTGTCATCACCACAATCTATTTCCAGAAGTTTTTAGTTTTCCATCACTCCAAATAGTAACTCAGCGTTCCTTCAGCATTAATTTCTTACCTCTCCTTTGTTCCCCACCCTGCTGCTGTGTTGTTAGGTGCCATCAGGTCAGCTCTGACACTTGGTGATCCCATGAACAACAGACGAAATACTGCCTGGTCCTGTACCATCCTCACAATTGTTCTGACGTTTGAGCCATTGCTGCAGCCCCTGTGTCAATTCATTTTGTTCAGGGCCATCCTCTGTTTCGCTACCCTTCTCCTTTACCAGGCATGATGTCCTTCTCCAAAGACTGGTCTCTCCTGACAACATGTACATGGTACATGCGATGAAGGCTCGCCACCCTTGTCTCTAAGGAGCATTCTGGCTGTACTTCTTCCAAGATAGATTTGTTTATTTATTTATTTTAAGAAATCACTTCATTGGGGCTCTTAAAGTTCTTACCACAATCCATACATCAATTGTGTCAAGCACATTTATGTTGCCATCATCATTTCCCAAACATTTTCTTTCTACTTGAGCCCTTGGTATCAGCTCCTCTTTTTCCTCTCCCTCCCCTACTCTCCTACATTTGTGAACCCTTGACAATTTAGAAATTATTGTTATTTTCATATTTCACACCATCCACTATCTCCCTTCACCCACGTTTCTGTTGTTTGCCCCACTGGGGGTGGGGTGGGGTTATACACCATCGATCACTGTGATTGCTTCCCCATTTCTCCCCCCTCTCATTCTGAGTCATAATTCTCTCAAATGCTTTAACTGTTTGACTAACTTTCAGAGACCACTGATTTCACCAATTTCTGTTTTTTAATTTTCTTTCTGGTTTTGTCATGGAAGAATGGGAAAGTGTACCACCTTCCTGCTTTGCAGCTACATACCTACTCCCTTTAAAAAATATCTATTTTTCATAATCATTTCGATTCTTACTCTAATTTGAACCAAAAGCTTTGTAGGACTAATATTTATAAGGGTCAATTTGGGATTTCTTTGAATTGCATCATTGAATTAAGGCCATTATTTCTTAGATCCTTCTTTGACTATATTCATTTATCCCCAAGAAATTTTTTCATAAAGATTGAATAGAAGCTAAGGTTTCTAAGTCTTTTCATTCTGACAATATATTTTATTCTCATACTCAATTGATAATGTAGCTATTTATAGAATTCTAGTTTGAAGATCATGCCAAGTCAGAAGTTTAACGGTATTGCTATATGTTCTAGCAAACAATAGTGCTGGTGAGAAGTCGATGCCACCTGAGACATGCAAAAGGTAAGTTTTAGGGTCTTTATCTTCAGAATTCTTTAACCTCAGAAGAATATGAATAGGAGTAAGTATTTTTAATTCTTGATTAGTCCCTAGAATATATAGAGAGGTGGCTGTGCAGGAGTTCTTAGAGGGGGACAAAGCTTTAGATCTTCCTATGAAAGATTTTAAGGCAATGATTTTCAGCCACTTAAAGCAAATGGAGAAAAAATATGTCAGAAAAGGGGGTGGGGAGAAGAAGAGATAGAGGAACTCAGGAAAGCATGACATGACAAATACATGAAAAACTACTTCAACAACCTCAAAAATAATTTCAAAAGGTAAACACACTAAGATATTAGAACTGGATAATATTTTGAAAGAACAAGACAGAAGAATCAAAACAATGGAAACAAGAGTCAGAGAGATCTTGAAAATAAATCTCTCAAGATCAAAAGATAAGTAGACCAACATATAAAAAAACAGCTGAAGAAAACTTAAGAATTCTATGGGACATGATCAAAAGAAACAGTTTATGTTTGATAAAACACCCTAAAATAGAAAGAAGAAATATTAACTACAGAGAAAGTAATTGAAGAAGTATTAAATGAGAATTTCCCAAATGACAACAGAACTTCCCAAGAAGCCCAGAAAACCCCAAACAGAATCGATCCCCAAAGGAAACCACCATGACACATCAGAGTCAAATTTTCTTTCTTTATTTTTTCTTTAAACTTTCTAACATCAAAGAAAAGTTAAGAATCCTGGGATCAACTTGGGAAAAAAGAATAATTACCTTCAGGCCAACCAATTA